TCTCTAGCAGCTATTAAATCTCCAAACAAGTAAGCAATTCTTCCCCAAGCAGAACTTTACCCCCACAGAAGGGGGACCAAAGACTTAAAGTCCCCTAGAATCATCTAAAATGGATTTTACATAGAGCGACTGGTAGTAATATCAAACCCTGAGGTGGAGAAGTAGTTAGATCACTGCTTTTCACTTGCAGTCTTGACACTCTTGGCCATTTTGTCAGCAGAACTCATCAATCAGTGTGGTAGCAAAAGCATCTGAGACATATTCTTGCTACCTTTTTGAAAGAGGGTCTTGAAAAAGAGTTGGGTTGTGCTAACTCCAAGTCCCTGCATGGCCTTACACAGCTAGAAATCTCTCCCTGGGCAGCTTCTACACCCAAGGCCGAGGAAACATGCATGAAAAAGCTATAAAGTTAACGACTTTGTAATTAACATTAGCAAACACATTTTACAGACTCAATGATCTGTAAGAGTGAGCTTGCCCACAGGCTGAGAGCCCTTGCCTCCCTCCCAGCCAGAAGCACATGGCACTGGTTTGCTAACTGGAGCAGACGGCTATTTCGGAGAGGAAAAAGAGCACTCCCATTTGCGGGAAGATTACAGGCTGCCAAGTTAGAGGCCAGTATGAGAAACTCTGGGGCTAACATGCTGCTCCAATGCTCACCACCCCTTCACACTGCCTGCACTGTGCTCCCTTCCTCCCTCTGTGAATTCCCTCAATGAATTGTCAGGCTTTTTTTTGGCCGAGAACCATCGCTTCTTCCTGAACTGGGAAATGCCTGCTGATCTCCTGGCATTATCCAAGCTCCAGTAAAAGACTTCTGTTTATCACAGAAAAGCCCTGAACAACCCAGCTACTGTGTCATTTAAGGCACGCTTTTGCACTCCTCCTGAAAGTACTTCCCCTGCATCTACCATGAAGCTGATGTACAGTCGCTCTGGGGGAAAGAAGCTGCAGGACAACCTCATGCCAGAGCAACTAGAAACCACCTGACTTCAAGAAGCGCTGGTACCCATGGCTGCAATTTGAACCAAGAGGAAAGCTAAACCCCCAGGACTCCCCCAAAAAATACACCCCAGTACTTTTAAGCAGCAATGAGTCAATGGAAAGCAGACCATCTGTACAAAGATGGCCCAAGAACAAAGCACAGCTGGGGAAATAGGAATGAAGCTGTCCACTGCTTTGCAATTCGAGATGGTGGGAAGGCTGAAGCCAGCCCGTGCTCTACACTGATGACGGAGATTGTGGCTGAACTGTCACCTTCCTTTATTTTTTTCTGAGATTCATGAGAGACTGATACAGTCTCTCTTAAAGGCTGCCCAGGGAGGTGGTGGAGTCTCTTTTTCTGGAGACATTCCAAACCCACCAGGATATTTTCATGTTCAACCTGCTCTGGGTGGACCTGCTTTGGCGGGGGGTTGGACTACATGATCTCCAGAGGTCCCTTCCAGCCCCATACCATTCTGTGACGCCTAACAGGCACTTTGATGCAGCCCAGGTCATTGCTGTTTGCACTGTCAGTGCTGTTTGATCAGGAGGCTCCAAAATGTACAGCCTTTCTCACTCTGTGTATGGCAAAAACTAGGCAATTAGTAGCCCGGACAACACACAACCATATATTTTAACTGCTGGATTAGCACAACGGGAAGAAAGGTCATCTCTGGTCATGCCTCCTCCGCTATGAGTGAAGTTTTCATGAGACCTGACTTTGATTTTTTGCTGTCGGGAGGCACAGAACAGGCTGACAGCCTCTGCCACAAATTATCAGCCAATTTCTCACTGGGAAAGTTGTTTTGATTGGGTCAAAGTGCAGCAAATGCAAGCAGCATTAGGATTAAAGGCTGAAACGCGGATCTCTCTTGCTATCCAGTGTCTGGCCAGACAAAGCACCAAGAGGTCAAATTAAATAAACCAGGCAGAGAGGTCTTCTCTCAAACCAAAACACAGCTACTGCCCACCACGCATCCCTCCCTCTCCCCATCCCCGGTCTGGCTCAGCCACGTACCTGTTGACCGTCAGAGTCAGTTCATCTCCACACCCCTTGATTTTGTTCTGCGCCTCAAGGTGCGTCATGTTGTCTGTGTTCACCCCATCGATGGCTATGATCTGGTCTCCTATACACAAGTTGGCTATTGCAGCTTTGCTACCTGGAGTCACCTATGAGAAAATGACAACAACAAAACAGAATAAATGGACTTTCCAGGGAGCAGCTTTCCAGAGCAACATTTGAAAAACAGTTGGAGTGCTCAGGACTTCCTTTGCTGGTACCTGGAAGCAAGGAGGTGAAAATTGATGCAAGCTTTCTGTTGAGAATTTACTGTCTGGACCTGGGCCTCTTGGATAGTCTTGGTATTAAAATTAGGGGCAGAATTCTGTTTTGGCACCCACAGAGAGAAAACTTGGGGGAGACGACAGGTAAAGAGCAGAAATTGTTCCTTTGCTGGTACCTGGAAGCAAGGAGGTAAAAACTGATGCAAGCCTTCTGTTGAGAATTTACTATCTGGACCTGGGCCTCCTGGATACTCTTGGTACTAACAGTAGGGGCAGAATTCTGTTTTGGCACCCACAGAGAGAAAACTTGGGGGAGACGACAGGTAAAGAGCAGAAATTGTATTTTCACTCAAGGCAATTGGCTTCATGGTAGAGAGCAAGAACACATGGAAGGCAAATGTCCTTTGTCAGATAAAGTAGTGCTCACCAAAGCAGAAGGTGTTGAGGAAGCCTGAGCCTCTAAAAACAGAGGTGACAGAAAGGAGTATCAGAGTCATTGCAATACAGTCAACGCCAACCACAGACACCTTTGTCTGCATCACTATCTCATTTGCTTCCTTCTGAAAGAAAGGTTTGGGCTCAAGATTTTTGACTGCTTCTTTAGTTTTAATCTGGTTTATCCCAGGAACAGTTGCAACAGACCCTCGCTGACTTGAGTAAGATCAATCCCAAAGCAGCGCTTGATCTAACAAACAGACTGGCAGGGAGAAAGGCATCAGAAACTTCATATTTAAATCACAATTTGACCATATTTCCTGAAAATGTGGAAGTATTATCCCCAGCCCACCTTGCCACACCCTGCCATACACATCTTCCTTCCCTCTCCACGCGTGGTGGTTTGCTTCCCGGATACACCACCACACTGCTGAAGATGTGTTGTCCTCTGCTTGAGAAATGACTGATGGCAAAGAGCTTGGGGTAATCTCAATGAGACCCCAGACAGAAGACATTACGCAGCAACACTACCAGTAGGACACCCCTTTGTGGAAAAAAACAGATGGTCCCAGCTAAGACTTGGCTTTTTCAAGCTAGTCAACTCAACAGCTCATTCATTTTTCCCCTACTTCTGCTGATGAGGTGTCCTCATAACAGAGACCTCTTTGGGCCCAAAACAATTGCCTGGGCGAAGGGTGAAAAATGTCACGTTTGCTTGTGGCTTTGCAAACGCTACGTAAGATTTTTGTGCAGTTTTAATGACCTCGTGGAAGGAGCCTAACAATTACTGTGGGCTTTCATCAATTATTTAATAGGCAGAGGAAATGAGAAGGGTGGACTTCTCCCAAACATGAGCACAGATTAAAACATGCCCTGCAGCTGGGACACACCTCGTTTATGAGTCCGTTGCAACTGGTATTCATTCTACACATTCATGCTAGGTTTCAGCATGCTGGAAAGCAGCTGAGCAAACAATCATTGCAGACGTGAGGGCGGACAGAAAGTGCTTCTGTTTCCTAATTTCTATCATCCCAGAACCTTCTCCTTAGAATGTGCATCCCTAAGGACAATATTTATTTGCCTGGGCTTTTTTCCCTGCAGAGAGGAACCTGGGAGTCCTGGTGGACAATAGGACACCCATGAGCCAACGATGTGCCCTTGTGGCCAAGAAGGCCAATGGCATCCTGGGGGGCATCAGGAAGAGGGTGGCCAGCAGGTCCAGGGAGGTCATCCTGGCCCTCTGCTCTGCCCTGGGGAGGCCCCAGCTGGAGCACTGGGACCAGTTCCGGCCTCCCTGTTTCAAGAAAGCCAGGGAACTGCTGGAGAGGGTCTAGCAAAGGCCTACAAAGATGATCAAGGGAACAGATCATCTCTCTGGTGAGGAAAGGCTGAGGGATCTGAGGCTGTTCAGCCTGGACAAGAGAAGGCTGAGAGTGGATCTCATCGATGCCGATCAATATCTAAAGGGTGGGTGTCAGGAGGATGGGGCCACGCTCTTCTCAGTGGTACCTGGTAAAAGGGGTAACAGGCACAAGCTGTAACACAGGAAATTCCGTCTGAACATGAGGAACTTCTTTCCTGTGAGGGTGGCAGAGCCTTAGAACAAGCTGCCCAGAGAGGGTGTGGAGTCTCCTTCTCTGGAGATATTCCCAAACCCCCTGTATATGTTCTTGTCCAACCTGCTCTGGGTGAACCTGCTTTGGCGGGGGGTTGGACTACATGATCTCCAGAGGTCCCTTCCAGCCCCATACCATTCTGTGACGCCTAACAGGCACTTTGATGCAGCCCAGGTCATTGCTGTTTGCACTGTCAGTGCTGTTTGATCAGGAGGCTCCAAAATGTACAGCCTTTCTCACTCTGTGTATGGCAAAAACTAGGCAATTAGTAGCCCGGACAACACACAACCATATATTTTAACTGCTGGATTAGCACAACGGGAAGAAAGGTCATCTCTGGTCATGCCTCCTCCGCTATGAGTGAAGTTTTCATGAGACCTGACTTTGATTTTTTGCTGTCGGGAGGCACAGAACAGGCTGACAGCCTCTGCCACAAATTATCAGCCAATTTCTCACTGGGAAAGTTGTTTTGATTGGGTCAAAGTGCAGCAAATGCAAGCAGCATTAGGATTAAAGGCTGAAACGCGGATCTCTCTTGCTATCCAGTGTCTGGCCAGACAAAGCACCAAGAGGTCAAATTAAATAAACCAGGCAGAGAGGTCTTCTCTCAAACCAAAACACAGCTACTGCCCACCACGCATCCCTCCCTCTCCCCATCCCTGGTCTCGCTCAGCCACGTACCTGTTGACCGTCAGAGTCAGTTCATCTCCACACCCCTTGATTTTGTTCTGCGCCTCAAGGTGCGTCATGTTGTCTGTGTTCACCCCATCGATGGCTATGATCTGGTCTCCTATACACAAGTTGGCTATTGCAGCTTTGCTACCTGGAGTCACCTATGAGAAAATGACAACAACAAAAAAGAATAAATGGACTTTCCAGGGAGCAGCTTTCCAGAGCAACATTTGAAAAACAGTTGGAGCGCTCAGGACTTCCTTTGCTGGTACCTGGAAGCAAGGAGGTAAAAACTGATGCAAGCCTTCTGTTGAGAATTTACTATCTGGACCTGGGCCTCCTGGATACTCTTGGTACTAACAGTAGGGGCAGAATTCTGTTTTGGCACCCACAGAGAGAAAACCTGGGGGAGATGACAGGTAAAGAGCAGAAATTGTATTTTCACTCAAGGCAATTGGCTTCATGCTAGAGAGCAAGAACACATGGAATGCAAATGTCCTTTGTCAGATAAAGAAGTGCTCACCAAAGCAGAAGGTGCTGAGGAAGCCTAAGCCTCTAAAAACAGAGATGACAGAAAGGAGTATCAAAGTCATTGCAATACAGTCAACGCCAACCACAGACAACTTTGTCTGCATCACTATCTCATTTGCTTCCTTCTGAAAGAAAGGTTTGGGCTCAAGATTTTTGACTGCTTCTTTAGTTTTAATCTGGTTTATCCCAGGAACAGTTGCAACAGACCCTCGCTGACTTGAGTAAGATCAATCCCAAAGCAGCGCTTGATCTAACAAACAGACTGGCAGGGAGAAAGGCATCAGAAACTTCATATTTAAATCACAATTTGACCATATTTCCTGAAAATGTGGAAGTATTATCCCCAGCCCACCTTGCCACACCCTGCCATACACATCTTCCTTCCCTCTCCACGCGTGGTGGTTTGCTTCCCGGATACACCACCGCACTGCTGAAGATGTGTTGTCCTCTGCCTGAGAAATGACTGATGGCAAAGAGCTTGGGGTAATCTCAATGAGACCCCAGACAGAAGACATTACGCAGCAACACTACCAGTAGGACACCCCTTTGTGGAAAAAAACAGATGGTCCCAGCTAAGACTTGGCTTTTTCAAGCTAGTCAACTCAACAGCTCATTCATTTTTCCCCTACTTCTGCTGATGAGGTGTCCTCATAACAGAGACCTCTTTGGGCCCAAAACAATTGCCTGGGCGAAGGGTGAAAAATGTCACGTTTGCTTGTGGCTTTGCAAACGCTACGTAAGATTTTTGTGCAGTTTTAATGACCTCGTGGAAGGAGCCTAACAATTACTGTGGGCTTTCATCAATTATTTAATAGGCAGAGGAAATGAGAAGGGTGGACTTCTCCCAAACATGAGCACAGATTAAAACATGCCCTGCAGCTGGGACACACCTCGTTTATGAGTCCGTTGCAACTGGTATTCATTCTACACATTCATGCTAGGTTTCAGCATGCTGGAAAGCAGCTGAGCAAACACAGCAGAGCTGTCAGACATAAATAAACACTGTTCACAAGATTTAGAGAATCCTCCTAATGTGGGATTGGATGGCAAATCATTCCCCCGCAGGAAATGTTCACCTCCCTGAGGTGTCACACATCAGCTGCTATCACTGCTCTCCCTGGGCCAAAACCCAGGCTGTTCAGCACATCCCCTCATAGCTTTGGTGGACATTTTCATAACCAGAAGGGAAATAATCACAAGATTTTTTTAACCCCTCTACTAGGACAGGATTTCACGGAAGAGGGAAGAGGGAAGATGTGTCTTACAGATGTCCAGGTTGGCCAAAGTACTCAACATTAACCCAAAGACCTTCAGATGAGTCAACTGAATAATACCTGTCAGCCTGCTCACCACTTTAATGCTGTAAGCAGACTACAAACCAAGAGAGGAAGGACATGGACCACTTGGAACAGGTCCAGTGGAGGGCAACAAAGATGCTCAGAGGGCTGGAGCACCTCTGCTGTGAGGACAGGCTGAGAGAGTTGGGGTTGTTCAGCCTGGAGAAGAGAAGGCTCCAGGGAGACCTTAGAGCCCCTTCCAGTCCCTAAAGGGGCTCCAGGAGAGATGGGGAGGGACTCTTGATCAGGGACGTGTAACAATAGGACGAGGGAGAATGGTTTTAAACTGAAAGAGGGGAGATTTCAGATCTCAGGAAGAACTTCTTTCCTGTGAGGGTGGTGAGACACTGGAACAGGTTGCCCAGAGAAGCTGTGGTGCCCCATCCCTGGAGGGGTTCAAGACCAGGCTGGATGGGACTTGGAGCAACCTGGTCTGGTGGGAGGTGTCCCTGCCCATGGCCCGTGAGGAGCACTGAGCTCAGCACACCATTACCATGATTCATTTTCCCTCAGACCAGACTGCCAAGGGGTCAAGAATAACGGTGGATTAACACCGCTGCTGGAAGGCTGCCGGAGACTCGGCTGTACAGCTTGCACTTAAAGACTGATAATCTACACAACATGTGGCAGCTGCGAGAAACGATCCCTGTACCACAAGGAGCAGCTGAGCTGGAGCAGCCAGGGACAGTACTGCTGAGATACTGGAGCCTCCTGAAAAAACCCCAAGAGCCACTGGGACAGGAGAGTGGCATTCGCAGGACCATCTCGATGCTTGCAGTGTCACGCTCCCTTCCTGTGTCCACTTCAGAGGAATTTGAAATCTGAGTGCTCTTCTCCATCAGATAAGAGCCACAAGGGCAGATACACCCACTCAGGTCCCCTACAAACCTCTCCCCGAAGGAGAAGCCATGAGGATACACAGTAATGAAAAGGATAAGCGAATTTGCCAAAAGGAAACGTGTTTTAAAATCCAGTTTCTTCAGTTCTGGCAATACCTTGCCCTGAAATGCAGCCATCCACAAGCCATGAGGATACACAGTAATGAAAAGGATAAGCGAATTTGCCAAAAGGAAACGTGTTTTAAAATCCAGTTTCTTCAGTTCTGGCAATACCTTGCCCTGAAACGCAGCCATCCATCCATCAACCCCTCCCCTGCAACATCCAGCTCGCACTCCCTGCCAGGATTGCTCACAGCAAACATGTCTGCACAAGGGCAGGGTACCGCAGGGAACCCAGCCCCCATCCTTTTAGGATGATTAATGGCTACTAATAATGTTCCCTTCCCCCCCCTCGCAGTAAGGTCTGGGCTTATCTCAGTGCTGTCAACACTGCTTTTAGAGATTTGCTCACCTACCGGTTGAGTCAGGAAAGCAAAAACCGTTGCTGTTATTAAGTGAGGAGCAGAGAGCTGCCACTGGGAAGACCTTTTCCTGCTTTTATTTTTGTCACATCCCTCCCTGGCCCGTGGGGAGCAGCAGGGGCAGAGGCGCTCGGAGCACTGAGAGATACCAGCCAACTTACACAACCCAACCAAAAGGACTCCAAAAAAACCACGAACAAAAGCTTTTGGGCTCACAGGCATTCAGTAAATACTGAACTGTCTGAAACTGCATTGCTCCTGCTCTCTTCTCAAACCACTTAAAAGCTTTGCACCAGCCTCTCACCTTTCCCTCCCCCTTTGACCCAGCATGGAGCATTTGACCGAGCACCTCCAGACATCGAGGGGACAGCAGGCAGTAGCTGGCAGCCACTTTGCATGGGTAGGTGGCCTGACAGTGATGGGATACAGCTGCACCTCTGCCTGGGAGGGCGAGGAAGGCTGGAAAATACTGCGAGGAACCAAATCTCCAAACACAACTTTGCACAAGTTATGTCCTGTGCCAAGGCATAGCCTCCTGCCTCCTTCAAAAGAGACCTCCAGCTGGCTTGGGCTTCCCACAGCCTTGGGCAGATGGGTGACAGGCAGCACCACAGGCCCCCAGGAGACCCCCAGCTCCAGGGTCACTATCACAGGGTGAATAAAGCTCTGCACACCCTGTAACATCATGCCCAAGGGCTTCATTTTGAAAGGAGCCATGCCCTGCCTTGTGGTGATGGCTCCCAGGCAATTGCTTAACACTTTGGCATGAGGTCATTTCTCTGTAGAACAGACAATGCTGAGATGACTGAGCAGCATCCTTCATACCATGGCCAAAAATAGGTCCCAGAGCTCATCAGAATGTGCCTACGGAGATGCTCTCTTTGGCTGGCATTTCTGTGTAAGAAATCTGGGCTACTACAGAAATGATCCAGACGCTTACAGTGAGACACATCGACTGAGGTCCCTGGCATCACCTCAGATCCATTCGCCAGCATATGGAAGAAACAAATAATCCCCATAATCTGTGGTCTTGACCGTGTAATCTTTACTCGTGCAAAGCTCATGTAGTAGATAATGGTTTTGACCAGTTATAGGCTTGGACTCCTCTTTTTAAAGTGATCCCACAGATTCAGGGTTGGTATGGACAGAAGAAAAACCTACATTTTTTTTTTTTTTAATATATCATGAAGTGAAGCTTTGTGGATATACGTGCGTGCACATGCATCTATAAAGCTCTGCAATCATGAAAGGGGCAGAAAAAATATCTGCCTCCTCTCCCTCCTCGTTTCGGGCTCCACCTCGCCAGCGCCACCGGGATTTTCCCAAGTTCAGATTTCCATCTCCCAAGAGGTTTGCCTGCTATTGTCCGTCCCCTGGCAGCAGCAGCCAGGCAGCACACAAAGGACTTGGCCGGGACGTACCAAGCCTTCAGCCAGTCTTTGGGCAAGCGCGTTTACACTAGAAAAGAAAAACACTTTGATTTCACAGAGGGAAGGAGACCCATCCGGCTGCTTACCCAGCTCCCAGGCAGTCTGTACAAAAACTTCTGTCTGTCCCAGAGCTGGGGGACATCATGTTGCCTCCATACATGCTCCCAACAAGCTTTGCAATGTATGGGATATATGGTGCCTTCCTCCCTTCTGCAGGTGAGGATCTGAGAGGGGGCAATGGGTCTATTAAGGGAAGCTGCTGCCCCCAGCAAATGAGAGGGAGGAACAGTGGGAAGCATTTCCATGAAGAGCAGTGTAATGCAGCCCCATGAAGAATCAAGAGGGGCTAAAATTCATTCAGTTCTTCCTAGTCTTTCCCCCCACATCAATTCAGGCACACCACTTGCTGACTCCATCAGCCCTTCAGAGTTTCTCACAGACCCTACAGCCTCGGGCACCAGCCATCACTCCACACCTCGACACACCGCGAGGAGTGATGAAGAGATAAGGAAAGAGAAAATTAACATCAGCCGAGAAAATGAGCTGGATTAACAGCACCAATCCGAGCTTGAGAGGGAAAACCCAGCTGCGCCTTTGCTGGACAGGACAGACATGCAGCAACATACTTCTAAGGCCACCAGTGACAACGAGACATCTCTGACATTCAGCTTAATCCTCCCCACCCACACAGGCTGCTGTTTTACCATGAGTAATGTCCTCAGCGCTGGAGGAGTATTATGCTAAGCAGCCACAGTTTCTCCCAGCAAAAGCACGCAGCTGGGTCAGCAGAGATCAGAGGCTATGAGAAAATTCAGGCAAGCACGTTCCTCACCCCTTGTCTTCAGGGGAGGGGGAACAACAGGCTGGTTCCTTACCACCAGCTCTGGGAGTTTCTTCTCCCAAGCTGCTCCCTCCCTCTGCACTGTTAAGGTGCTGCTCTGTGCTGGCCCAGACCACTCCATCACCAGGAGAGAGCAAGGGGGACATGTCTCCAGTTGGGGAAACCCCTGAGCATCAGCCCATCTCAGTGGGGTCGGGGCTCCCACTGCACAAGCCCCTCTGGTAGCCCAGCTTGTCCTCACCCTCCTGCCTGCCTTCGGTTCCTGCCTGTTCCCGACAGCCAGACGAGGATTATTAACACAGAAAAGGGAAGGCATTAGCCACAGCACAAAGAGGGCTGACCTCAGGAAGATACAGGAAAGATGATCTGCTCATGCAGATGCACAATCGATGGTCTAGGAGTCACTTACCGCCCCCCCCCCATCCAGCTTGTTTTGCAACATGCTCCACATTAAAAAAAAATAATAAAAAATGTAAAGACTTCTTACAAGACCTCAAATACATAAAGAAAGTTGGTCATCCGCTGAGCCTTTCCTGATAGTTTACTT